AAAAAGTAATAACAAATTTACAATCAAAACTTGTAGTATCACACCTGAAGGAGTTTACTGACACAATGCTAAAATAGATGAAAAAGCTGCTCATATTAATTGATCAACAGTGCTTCGGAAAATTAGATGCCAAAATGTTAAACTGGATGAGCTGAAGTCCATTAGCTGCAAAAGCTGAGAACTGAAACATGTTGTTGAAACAGTTGAAAGCCAAATTATTTATTGCCAAAGGTGGAAGTAGGAATAAAATGCCTTAGAAATGTGTCTCCAGTTCGTGTGTGTGTATGTGTGTGTGTGTGTGTGTGTGTGTGTGTGTGTGTGTGTGTGTGTGTGTGTGTGTGGGGGGGTGGGCCTGCGTACATGTGTGTGTGCGTGTGTGTGTCTATCTATCTGTCTGTCTGTGTAGCTCTCTGCTTGTCTGTATTCATGTGTGTTTCTGTGCCAGTTAAAATGACTAACTAAAATTAACTGCCGATTGCTTCCTGATTAAAAGTGGACTGAAACATATTTGCAGTGAATCCAGTTGAGATGTGTGTGAATCACTGCACAAATGTCAGTTAAGTGGTTGATAAACACCAAAGATATCAGAGGACTCTCAAATCAGGTTAATTGACCCAGATGTGTGCTCCCTCATCTTAGAGGTTGCCATGGTGACAATGCTGTCTCACTAGGTGACCACCTGTCTTTGAAAGAGGTAGCACCTGGAAAACACTGGTTGAAGGTAATCCACCAATGAAATTCAAACTGAAATTAACAGCCAAATGTTTCCTGAATTAAACTGTGTCTATCTATCTGTCTATCTGCCTGTCTGTCTACCTGTCTACATTTCTATGTGTCCGTTTGTGTGTGCGTGTGCACATGTTTGTATATGTGTGTGTGTGTGTGTGTGTGTGTGTGTGTGTAAGAGAGAGAGTCTGGCTGTTAAAGACAGGGCTCATAAAAATCTATGGGAGAAAGGGGTCAGCAAACTTCTCAACCTCCTGCCATTAAATACAAAACAGTACATAATATCATAATATCAAAATTATCACATGGGCAGTGCCACAAGACTCTCCTGAACACCTCTATGTGGTTTTGGTGTTTCTAGAGCCAAAAATGTGGAAATAGGAGCGAGTTACAATATAGGGTCTGTCCTGGTTTTCTCCTGAAATCAGCTCCTGAATTTGTATCGCAGTTTGTAGGACAGTTGGAGGGTACTCCCATCAGCTTGAGGCTGACAGTTTAAATTCTGTTAGACTCTCTGCTAAGGTAGTCACTTTATATGAAACAGGACAAATTTGTCTACTAATGAGGAAGAAATGATGTGTCAAGATCGAAATATGTGGCCATAAGGACAAGGTACACAGATTTTTTTCAGACAAATTTTAGAGCTTCTCCCACTTTAGCGATGATGTCATCCACTCTAGCCCTGAACGTTCCATGCAATACACACCCATTATAAACTCAGAAATCAAAAATGAAAAAAGTATTAAACTAAAACTGTGATAATTCAAAAACTGTTGAAGATATCAAAAAGTTGAATACAAGTTTAATAGCTAAATTTCTTCAGAACATTTTAAACATTGAATGATGTCTTTAGCTGAAAGTATGCTGAAGTAGTTAAAGTTTAAAGAGGCTGAACTTTTCAAGGATTTGAACCTTGTCTCCATTCATTTGAATGGCAAATAAAAATCATAAAAAGCTTAATATTTCAAAAATTATAAATAATGTGAAAAAGTTGAATACATCCAATAATCTACAGGGAAAGCCGAACATTTTTATAGTTTGATAGTAACGGTTTTTGTAGGACAAACTATGAAGGACTAGTTAAAAACCATAGAAAGGCGTAAGAATTAAGAATAATAATAACTAGAAAATGCATTTCCTGCTGAAAATGCTTGTGAATGCTGAGAGCTGAATTAGATTGCTGAAGCAATGCTGAAGAAGCTGAAGCAATTGCTGAAGTAATACTGAAGTAGCTCAAGCAATGGCTGAAGATTAAAAGCAGAAATTGTAAGCTGGAGGTTGAATGGTATGAAATGGTTGAAAAAGGCCTACATTCTTGTTGGAAATTGTAACAAACTGCACAAAACTGTAGAAAATATAGAAAATGCTAAAAACAGAAAACATGTTAGTTGAAAGCTAAATGGCCTTTAAAAAAAAACCTAAGAAAGAAGAAATGTACAAGCAAAACTTGTCACACCTGAAAGAGATTTCTGACAGTGCTTTGAAAAATTTGATGCCAAAATGTTAAATTGGAGGAGCTGAAGTCCATTAGCTGCAAAATCTGAGAACTGAAACATGTTGTTGAAACACTTGAAAGCCAAATAATTTACCGCCATAGGTGGAACTTCGAATGGAATGCCTTAAAAATATGAAGAAGTAATCATCTGTATTAGTAACAGAAAGATGAACTACATCCTAAATAGTAGAAACTTTGATTTAAGATATGAATAAGCTGAAAAATCACTTAAAAGCTGGCAGTGTTGTGAACAGTTTAAAGTTTGAATAAAGTCTGTAGCTGAGAGTATTCTCAAGTAGTTGAATTTCAAAGATGTTGAAGTGTGAAGTAGTTGAACATCGTCTCCATTCACTTACATTGTATAAATTGCAGAAAAAGCTTATCATTTCAAAGATGATGAATAGTATCAAAAACTTGAAGGAAAGGATACATCTCCTGAAGAAGCTGAAAATTTTGATAGTTGAATGGTTTATGTAACACAAAGTATGCAGGAGTAGTTAACTACTGAAGGAAAGTAAAAGGAGGATCTCAAGTATAACACCAGTGTTACTGTCATCTCCCTCTATGAGTACTAACTTATAAACAGCTTTCTTTGTGTGTGTGTGTGTGTGTGTGTGTGTGTGTGTGTGTGTGTGTGTGTGTGTGTGTGTGTGTGGTGTGTGTGTGTGTGTGTGTTTGTGTGTGCGTGTGCGTGTGCGTTGACGTGAACTAACTAGTCAATAGTACGAACCGGAGGCAGACTCGCAACTACGGACCCAAAGACCGTCATCTATCCCTCACACCTAACAGGTCACCACCCGTTAAAATATTTCATAGGTCTTTATGTAATTAGCATGTGGTGTGTTTCATTGAGCTTCATTATTTCAGAGTTTATCTTGTCTCTCTCTCTCTCTCTCTATCTCTCTCTCTCTCTCTCTCTCTCTCTCTCTCTCTCTCTCTCTCTCTCTCTCTCTCTCTGTCTCTATGGTTGCAACTGGAGTGGCCTGTAGGGACATCGCAGTCACCAGGGCACAAAGGATTCTGGGCCTTGTAGTAGGCTATTTTACGCTTTTGAGCAATACAGAAAATGTCACCCATTTTCACTGATTCCTATGAACATATAGACTGTGATGGAAAGCATAATTTCTATGTGTCCATTTGTGTGGGTGTGTGTGTGTGTGTGTGTGTGAGGGAGTCTGGCTGTTGAAGACACAGAGCTCATACAAATATATGGCAGACAGGGGTCAGCGAACTTCCTGCCATTTAATACAAAACGGTACATAGTATCAGAAAAATGATCACATGGTCAGCGCAACAAGACTCTCCTGAACACCTCTATGTGGTTTTGGTGTTTCTAAAGCCAAAAATGTAGAAATAGGAGCTAGTTACAAAGAAGGGTCTGTTCCGGTCTTCTCCCGAAATCCGCTCCTGAATTATTGCCTGAAGTATTGCAGTCTATGTGAGAGTTTGAGGGTCCTTGCATCACTTGGAGGGTCACATTTCAAATTCTTTTAATCTCTGTACTAAGGTAGACACTTTTTATGAAACAGGGCAAATTTGTCTACTAATGAGGAAGAAATTATTTGTGAAAACCAAAATATTTGGCCGTGAGAACAAGTTAAACAGAATTTTTTCAGAGGAGTTCTAGAGCTTCTCCCGCTCTAGCGATGATGTCATCCACTCTAGCCTCAAACATTACGTGCAATACACACTCATTATAAACTCAAAAATAATCAGAAAAAAGCTTGAAACTAAAACTGTGGTAATTCAAAAACTGTTGAAGATATAATGAATTTGAATACAAGCTTAATAGCTGAAAGGCTTGTCTACAGTTTAAAGGTTGAATGAAGTCTGTAGCTGAAAGTATGCTGAAGTAGTTAAAGTTTAAAGAGGCTGAAGATTTCAAGGATTTGAACATGGTCTCCATTCATTTGAATGGCAAAAAAAAATCATAAAAAGCTTAATATTTCAAAAAATATATATAAATATATCAAAAATATCGAATATCAAGAAATTGAATACATCCAATAATCTACAGAAAAAGCCGAACATTTTGATAGTTGAACGGTTTCTGTAGGACAAAGTATGAAGGAGTAGTTAGAGACCGTGCTGCAGCATTCAAACTAATAATAATAAAGATTTGAATAACAATATAATTACTTAAAATTACTTAAAATTCCTAAATTTGTGGTCAGTCTTTGGAGAGCAACTCAATGTCAACTTCACTGCACATGCTCAGTGTTTATAATGTTTTGCTACTTTCATGAGCTGAAAAGAACTACAGCAGCCAGTTTTATCAAAGTGAAGGAATATGTCACCCAGCACAATGGTAAATGGATTTGCACTTATATAGCGCTTCTGTAGTCTTACTGACCTATCAAAGTGCTTTACAATACTTCTCACATTCCGCCATTCACTCACACATTCATTCATCACAATCACACACTGAGGGGCAATGTGGGGTTCAGTATCTTGCCCAAGCATACTTCAACACACGGACTGGAGGAGCCAGGGATCGAACCACCAACCTTCTAATTAGTGGACGACCCGCTCTACCACCTGAGCCACAGCTGCCCCGTTGAGTCATTTGAGGAAGCAACGGAATATAAACTGCAATATGATGTATTACAACAGATAGACAGACAATACACATTCTACATTTTATTATGCTGTATTAATAGTGGAAAAGTGTTGTTTTGGTTTAATAACTAGCTTCAACTGCAAGATTTTACAACTGTAGAAATTATGATATTGATACCAAATATTTGGAAGTACTATTCACAACCGGTCACCACCCTACCTTTATCAACAGTCCTTTTGTCTTTAGCCTGTGCTGACGGTGCAGAAGGAAGAACCGCCTCAGACTCGTTTGGTGAATGACTCTCCTCCTCCTCCCTGTTGCGGATGTCTTTCTCCTCCAGGTACCGGGCCATGAAGAAATTACTGTGCAAAATTACAGAGGATAAAATTAGATTTTAGGTCACAAAAACAAGTACTAAAAGAAGACTACATGTTCTTGGGGCAAAATAAAATAAGCATGTAGGTACTGAAGTGTGAGTGTTTGAAACATGACCATGACCAACATAGTCAAACATTCCGTCATTGTGTTACTTATGGATGGAATTATTGTGAAAATAAATTATTCCCCTTTTTGCTGGGGACCACCAGGAACTCCCCGGACTCCCCGGACCCCACTTTGAGGACCACTGCACTAGAACACAGGTGATCTGATGGTCTCAGGTCAACCTCACTTAACAATTACTGAGGAGGTACCACAAGGTTCTGGTCTATTATTGCTTACAATGTAGATTAACAATAAACAGACAAATTATCAATTTTTATGCAGATGACACTTGCTTGTATGCACATGGCTCTTTACTTTCAATAATCATTCTATTTTACGTCCTCCTGACAACATATAATGCAGATCTACCACCTACCAAAAATAAAACACAATTTTAATACTTCTTTTTATCAATTACTGTCCTATTCCTAATGTCAAAAAATATGATTTAACTTAAAATGTGTGTAGGTGTCAATTTAGTCCTGCTCACTTCTACTTAAGGATGCAGGTTGTATATAACAGGGCATACACAGTATATACTAAAATTGCAGTTTCCTATTGAGATTAATAAGGTAACTCTATCTATCTACACTAATAGACTACAAGTAATGTAAGATGTAATTTACTTGTTCTACCTGAAATGTGTTTGTAATTCCTAATTTGTATCTGAGACACACAGTGCAATACGATTATGGCATTGTCATCCTCAACTCCCATGCATGACAACTCATCAAGCTTTACTATTGGGTCTCAGTATATAATGATAATTTGATGAAACAAGTGAAAAGCATTAACCTCTGCGTGACCCCATTCTAGGACATCAACACACACAAGACTACATCTGACCCCATTGGATCTTTATGCATAAAAACGGCACTACTTATCTGTTTATGTCTGTTTGTTTACCTTGTATAAAATTATAATGTAGAGGATTAAAATCAGTTGAAGAATCTAAATTTCAACTTTTCTAACGAACATTTATAAACCATTGGTAAAGTGTTTAAATGATCAGCGTAGAAGATTCCTGTAACCCGGGATGTGCTCTCCCACCATATATTTTTTATATACCCCAATGATTATAATCAATAAGTAGCACCACAAACAGATCATAGATCAAACAAAAAAATAAGTATTTAGTTTCTTCTAGAATTTATTCTTGTCAGGATGTAAAGGCATTTACAGCATTTACAACATTTACAACATAATACACCGAAACCTTCCACTGAAACTGAACTAGTCAGGGTTAGTAACTCTTTTAAGCACAGCAGCTGAATACAATTAAACTTACACTAGATGAAAAATGTGGAAGAGAGTAAAAGCGATTAGTAAAAACAGCACAGTCTGATCTGTGGACATTCTAGAGACAGATGAACAATCAAAAGTCTCCCAGCCCTTTCAGATTAACTTGAAAAACATCTTAACACTACCTGAGAGCGTGGTCAACTTCTGATTGGTCACAGGGGTTTTGGTCCTTCAACATGTTGTTTAGAGGTTCATTGATCCACTGGACAGCAGTCATCACATGGTCAGCCCTCTCCTGACTTTGAGCTCTCCAGTCCAGTGAAGACTCTTTAGACCCAAAGAGGCTGGAGACAGCAGCTGAGGAAATGCTCTGAACACAGAGAAAGAGAAGAACTTGTTCAAAAGGTCAACAACAAGCTATTTACCACAAAAACACTACAGCTGCAAGTGCAAAATACCAAAATAGACTTCTATAGTACAGTAGAGTCCATGTGGTCCTGCCGATGAGATCCCCACCACTGCATCTCTCTAACTCTCTGTTTGTTATTCCCTTAAGCACATGAGCATCCAGGCTCCTCTCTTTTCATTCGGGCTCTCCGTACGGGCTGTCTTGGAGGATCTCTGTCCTCCAGGAGTCTCAGCCTATTCCTTGTCTCTCTGTGTTTGTTTCTTTCTCTTAGATGTTCACACATCTACTGTATGTATACTTGGTCTGATCTGCTTGCTGTTGCCTCGTGTGTTTGCATAGTCCAACCTCGGTTTTCGTGGTGGACAGGAGGTTGTGTGACTGGAAGCTGCCCAACATCCTCCCAGATTATATTATTCATTAATATTTACAATTCATAATTTTGTCATCCTGATTGTCCATACTGTAAATCTACTATTTTGTCCACATGATATCTATTTCATGTCCATCTTGAAAGTTAGAGGATTTTTCAGGGGAGTTGGGTTGAGTCTTTATCTCATTCAAAGGTCTAAGGACAGCGGACTTCATCATGCTGCACAGTTACAGCAAAATTGGATTTGTAATATTACATTATATAAATAAAATCTGACTTGACTACTGACACATTCACCTCCACCTGAGCTGTAGCCAGCAGATGGTTGGAGAGAGGAGGACAGGCGTTAATATCTGCCTTATCTCTCCTCACCCACAACACCCTTATCTGTCCACCCTCCTTCTCACAGACCACTTGCACATTTTTCTCTGATTATACATTAGTGTTAATGCTGAAGACAGACTGACAGAGGGCCCTCCATGATCCCGGAGCACAGCTACTGTATGCCCAGTTTACTTCATAAAAAACACAAAACATCTCTAATGTGTTTTAGTGGATCGGCTGTCTCTGTATTCTGCTTGTAACTTCTGCGAGTAACAATCCAATATACAATAACATGCAACAGAAAGAGTCTATTCATTCTTTAAATAATATACTCAAAAGGGAAAAAGGGCAATCCCTGTCCTGCAGACTTTTAAGATAATTGTATGTTATTCTTTTCTCCTTCAGGGAGGTGACATTCCACAAAGGACCTATGACCTCAGTTACATTCAGTGTGTCATGATTTGCTATGGCAAACCCCGACAAACCCTGACAGCTGTGACACAGTGTGATTTAATCATTTGGCCGCTAAGGTGACTGATCATACAATTTTTACATAAACCTCTATCTAGCTTCAAAAGCACCATATCATTGATATGCTGCTTTATCAGTTTCCATTTTATGCAGATGACTCCCATATCTATTTTACTTCAGCTCTGCTTTGATTCTATCATCATGCAACTGAGCAAACGGCAGTTCTCCCTCAAAGAACTAACATCAGAGTTATTATCATAGACCAAGGTTATTATCGTTAATGAAAACTAACAAAATAACAAAAATGTGAAAAAAACTCACGTTTTGTAATTCTAATGGTGACAATATCAAATATCAGGGCAGTTAGGGAGTTTAACTGGGAGTTGTCATAGATAATTATGAGTCTTTAAATTTATCACAAGAAAAAAAAAGCTTTTTCACCATTGAGTACTGAGGTTTTCATGACAACCACTACACTATCCCATATGTGTGCTTTCACTCGTGTGATCTGTGTCGCGTTTGAAGCTAATAACCCAAAGAGTTCAACAATGTGAATGCCCTTCCTCAAAAAATTTATTATGGTTATTATCATAGGTTTGTACCAAGATTATTGTAATGAAAATGAAAAAATAACAAAAACTAGATGTGAAAAAACACATTTGTTAACTGAAATAAAAATAAATATGAGGCTTTATTAAAAAAAAAAAAAAATGACTAACTGAAACTGTGCTGTGTTTTTACAAAAATAAGACAAACTAAAACCGAAGAGAAAATGTCCTCAGTTTTCATCTCTGCCATTTATTTCATACAGAAGCCTTTTATTTTGGGTGGATATGAAATCTGTCTTCCAATTTTTTAGCTATACCATCGGCAACATCACACAAGCAAGCAGCACAGCTGACATCATGGCGGTGCCAAAAGCATGCCTGTTGAATACGACTGTGTCACAGATAAGAGTATGACTTGTGTTTGAAAGTCCATTTGAAAAGTGTGTATATTCAATCTTTACACTGAAAGCATACACTGAGCTGAATATCCACAATCTGGCACATGAGCGATTGTCAGCCACAGTCCATGGGTCGGACTTGAATCCATGGCCGCTACAGAAAGGACTGAGCCTAAGTGGTATGCGCTCCACCAGGTGAGCCACCACAAAGTATTTCAACAGTTCATCAGGTGCAGCACTAGTCTATAGCCAAAAGGCAAAATATGGTTTATGAGTTTTACCTTTTCCTTGTTGCTGACGATGCAGAAGACCTCCACCTCAATTGATAGTTGTCCTCTTGTGTCATAAACCTCCCTTCCCCTCAGTCTGTTTATCCTTGGTGGTGCAGCGAGGTTTGCAAAGTAATTTGCCTAAAGTGAAGAAAAAGACATTTTTAACCTCAGTGAGTTGTGACCACACTCAAAGACCCCACTATTCTGCCATTATGGTGCATTTAAATTGTTCTTAGCCATTAAAACCAACCTCTGCACACAAATTACAGATTGTGGCGAAATTCATATTGGTTGCAATTTAATTGCAAATGAAGCAACAAAGATCAAAAATGTTGTGAATGTTTTTTGTTTTAATAAACAGAGTTCAACACCTAGAAGCAAGTGAATGCATATAAAAACCTACCTCACCTAAATGTTACAATATGAAAATAATAGTAAAATAGTGCTCATGTTCACTACAAATTTTACTGGAAAAGAATATTGCATGCATAACTTTCACAGTCAATGGAGAGTAACAAGAGTTTTGTCCCATGTGCCAAATGTAACTCTAATGGTGACAACATCAAGGAAGTTAAAGAATTGAACTGGGAGTTGTCACAGATGATTATGAGTTTTTAAATTTATCACAAGAAAAAAAAAGCTTTTTCACCAGTGAGTACTGAGGTTTCCATGACAACCAATACAATATCCCATATGTGAGCTACCACTGGTGTGATCTGTGTTGCGTTTGAAGCTAATAACCCAAAGAGTTTGACAATGTGAATGCCTTTCCTCAAATGTTATTATTAATGTCATATCCATTAATTCTCAGGTGGCATTCTATGAAGGTGAATACCTGCACAACAAACCATGGCTAACACGTGGAAGAAATAGCTTATTCTTAAAACTGTCTCACTTTCAAAGAATAAATTTATGGCCCTAATTTCACAGCCTTAATGTGGCCTTATCCTTGGTAATTCTTATTTCCTGCATTTCTTGTGCCTTAATGCTCTGTTAGTAGAGAATTTGAGTTAACATTGCAATGTACCTAACATTAAGGTGCATTGCAAATATCAATAAAGGCTGCATTCCATTTAGGTTTACCAGTTCCGCTGTCCCATTTTGTTTCACTGTAAGCCCACTTTATTCTATAGTTCATGTGCATTTCAAACATTCTGCAAAGTTCATGCAGCACTTGAAGGCAGCACTAGCTCCAGATGGTGCAGTCAGACCAAGGTTGTCAATGAATACTCTTTTTTGCTTGAAATGACCCAGAAGTATCTAAGTGGGAGCCATGATAAGAGCTGGTCAAATTCTCTAAATACTGAGGAATTGAGCTTCAGTGCTTCCTTTCTTATGTCTTTTAGCATATACACTGGACCTTCTTTTACAAAAGGAAAGGAGATAATGTCATCCCATAATTCCTTGCAGCAGCAACATTTAAAACAACGCACTATTGTAATTTCACAACAGCAGAACCACATAAATGTAGAAACATCAGACCTCTTGTTTTATGTTTGTGACACAATCCAAAACTTCTTTGTCCTTGTTCTATTCTTCCTTGTCTGATTTGCTGAACTCAAAATCCATAAATGTAGATTTATTCTCTTTCAGATCCAGTTAGGACTCATCATGAAGAACAAGATTATTGAACTACTAGTTAACAATATCATCATCATAACAAAATATTATATACATAAATGTTGTTTCACTAAATCAAAGGTCAAAAACGGCTGTCAGGCAACTCTATATACTTAAGTCTAGGGCTGGGTATTGAACTTGGATACTTTTACAGACAAACCAAATTGGTTTGATACTGTTGAAGATTAAAGGAATAAATTAGTAAATTTCATCAGCGTTGGAGAGCCATTAAGTATGCAGGATGCTTGGACCAAGATCTTATAATGTTGATGATTGGCTATTTATTCACACAATGAATTTGAAAAAATTGGTATTGAAAAAAGTATCGTTAAGAATCAGTATAGTCAAGATATCAGTATGAGTACCGATATCAGCTCTACTTATGTCTGAATATAGTTATTATATTCCTTTCCTTTCATGATATTATATTATTTCGACATTTCAATCCTGTTGTTTTGTTTTGTTTTGAACAATATGTATTTTGTTGTTAATTCCTGTGAATGGTTGACGGTTAAATGTATGAAATGGAAGAAAACATCCTCTCTGAGGAGGCGTGATTCTGTTAAGGACAGGAAACCTGACTTGAAATGTAGGCTTACAGTCGTGAGTATTGTTACCGCCATTATAAATAAAGTTGGTTTAAAAAAAGGGCAGTTCTCTTAGCAGCTGTCTTTTCATTAAGGCCTTATGAATTCTCCTGCACATCCTTTATCAAGGAAAAGTGCTCAGGAGAGGACATTACAATTTTGGCCTGCCATCACCAGCTGGTTAGAAAGTTGCTAGCTAAGCTAACTAGCTTTGTTGGGTGTAAACCGTTGCACTTTAGCAAATAAACAAAGCTAGGATTAGCATAACATTCGGACTGCCTAGCTATCTATTAACAGCAGAGAGAGAAGCAGTCATACCAGGTAGCCGTGAACGTCTCTGGGCTTGTGGAGGAAGAGTTCGTTCAGAGCTCCCTCTATCTGCTCCGGGACTCGGTTGACCCGATAAAACTCGGCCGCGTTTTTAATTTCATACAAATCCTGTTCCTCTTCAGAAACACGGCTGGTAACCGCTTGATAAGACATTGTTCACGTGTTGTCACCGTCTCCGTTGGCTTTGTGTTGTCTGTTACCCTGGAAACGAGTCGTTCAAGTGACAGCGGAGATCAGAGCGACATCCCTTCCTTTTCACGTCATAAATAAAACAGTGGATAACGTGTTTGTCCGGTCAGTGTTCAGTGATTACAGAGGAATTGGGGATATCCCTGCCACTGCTTTGTAAAGCAATGCAAAATGAAAACGAAGTATGGGATTATAATGGGAACAACCCCTTGTTAATGTTATAATTTGTAACAATATCTTATGAATGAGAGCTACATCAGCCCTGTATTCATCAAAATGTATATTTTATTCTCCTGAAACTACAATAGCTGTAAATCTGACAACATGGACACTTTCTAGACAGATATAACAAATAGTCAGACTTCAGATAGACTGAGTCTAAATTCATCTGTTGCACAAAGCATTTAGTTCTTGACTATCTTTAGCCAAAGATCCTCTATACAGAAGATACTGCATTACAGGCAGCACCAATGTAATGAAATGGGACACAGTTTCGTCCCCTAAGTGGGCGTTGTCTCCCAACCCCTCCCTCAAGCCGAGGCAACTGCATGAAATGTGACCGTAGCTTATACTTAAATCCATCCCTATCTAGACTTACCTCTCTGCATCGTTTGAGAAACAATTTGCGCCTTTTTTGCCACATCTGATCAATCCAGTACTCCATTTACCCCAGCTGAACATTTTTTTTTGGAAGAATTCAATTGGGAAATACAGCGAAGGGTGAAGCAATAAAAAGAAAAAGAAACATCTAATTTGAAAATATATATATATTGCTACAGTCTGTAGCCTAAAAACTGTTTCCCTTCTCTTTGCTCTCTCCATAAGAATGTTAGCAAAGCACAAATTAAGAGCCATGTTTTCCTGTTTTTTTGCAGTGTCATTGATTGTTACCATGGTAACATTGGTCTTAGGCCTGAGTTAGCCTGGGGGTAAGTTGTCTAATGTTTTTGGCTAAAAATTAGTGAGTCTTTATTTTTGTGAAACAGCATTAGACTGATCTATGAGTAACATGAAGACTGGACCAACAGTAGAGACCTGTCTGAAATATCTTTGTTCAGACTGGCCCCTGAAGTGGGGGCATAAGTTCTATGACTAGTCGGTAAACAGGTTAATTGAACTGAATCTTCTCAGGCTCAGAGTGTGTGGAGCAGCTACAGGCCAGGGTCAGTTTACTGTGTCACAGTAACCTTTTTTGGTCATAGACTTACCTTCACTATTCACTGTTTCACACCACCCACACCATAGCTTTGTGGTTTTGTATTTAGTCACATTCAGTTGCCATATGTTTACATGTCACCAAAAACCTCATTAGCCAGTTTCTATAAATCATGTATGCCTGACTGATAATCACTTTCCAGGGCATGTGTCTTTTTGCTGCCTTCCAGACAGCCACTGAGTCAGTCAAGACTATTACATTATGCACAAGTATACACAAGGTATGCTTTACTTTTTGTCAGTTACATTATGGTTGTTTGGCTGTAAATTTAAAATTGATTTGGTAAGTGTTTACTGCATGACATAATGATTTAAGTCTGATGTTCACTGTCACACCTAATTCAAACTGCTTTTCATAGTGAACTGAAATGAAAGCAGCTGGAGGGAGGGAACACATTCAAAAAGCAGAAACAGTATACAGTGGGAAATAAAGACACACACACACACACACACACACACACACACACACACACTGACTGATTTGTTTTGAGATGGAGAGGATTTCAAGAATTTAACCAAACTACCAAATGAAACCTGACAAAGTTATTCATATTGTATTTCCCCACAAAAACTTTGCCAAATTAAATTTAGAACTGGTCCCTGTTGCTCTTTTTGTGCAGACAATATTATCTACACTTTCATTCACATGGTTTGGTTTGGAGTTGAACATAAGCTGCAAACATCTTCTTCCAGCAGGTCTCACTGCAGCCAGTAGGACGGTGGTCTGCAGCTGGAGACCAGCACAGTAAGTATAGAAACATGGCTCTGGGCATGCTGAGCTCTCGTATGCAAGGTGAAAGGAAACAAGGAATTAACATTAAGTATTGGGTAGAGTGTAATAAGTTTCTAAAAATATACAGTACATGTATTATTTGTATAATTATGAATACATGTGTTTCTATGATATATCCATGTTTTCCTTACACATTACTTCACCCTTGAAATAAGACCTGAGCCAAGTAGGATGAAATAACTTTAATAGAAGAGATTCAGTGAACATGAAGGATGAGATAGTCTTTTTTTTTGTCCAGGCCTGTTTCTTCCTTGTTGTTTTTACCTTTTGAGCGTGATGCAGTATCTGAATCTGTCCTCTTTTTTTGCTTTTGCTTTGTTCTGCTTGACTAAAATATAACACGATTAAATAACCTATTTCTTATTTAACAGAATGCCTCATGTACACTTCTCCTGACACTGGTGATTCACTTCTTTCAAGACAGTTAAACTTATATAAATATCTAATTTCAATGAACCTCTTTACTGTCCTGTGATGAAATATTCAGTGACAACAGTCTATTCACCTTAAACAAGTATCTACTCTTTACTCTGTGATGGAAATGGTCAGGTTTAACACACTGGACCTCAGCTGTAAGCAGCTTCAGGAAAATATCAATAGATATATTGCCAATCAAAACGCACTGATTGTTCACCAACAAGCCTCCACTAAACAATCAGCACACCCACTCACCGAGCTCTCGCCCTAGGTGGGTGTGTTAAAGGAAGGCCTTAACCCCGGCGTGTTTCATTACCTGAGTGTCAAATTATTACCAGGCTGTGAAATGGACGCACAAACATTCAATCTCACCACTGATACCCACAAGGTCACATGGGGCCGACTGAATTCCTAACTTTATTAGTATTTGTCAACAAACATACACAAGAATGAAAGAACTTATGCACAATGATACTAGAAAGTTATATTCTGAAAATCTTCCCCGTTTTCTTCACTTTGTAAATCTTCCCTTTGTTAGCCTACTGCAGGAGCTCAAATTTTATTTTGAAAGAGCAAGCACTATCACTACAACCACGACAACAACAACAACAACAATGATGATGACAACAAAAATAACAGGCCTAAAAATGTTTTAATAATAATAATAATAATAATAATTATAATAATAATAATAATAGTAATAATAATAATAACACTTTTGACCCCAGATTTGCAAACCATAAAAACAATTGTGAGACAATGAAGCGCATACATAGAGAATATAAATTTGAGTCATTTCCTCCGTCCTTCGCCTGATTTAGGCTACCTACTTGCTGTGAAAATTCACGAGCTGAACCTTTAAAGTGTTTATGACCTTTATCTACCAACGGGGGCTGTTCTACACCCACAATGAACTCTTGACGTCCATATCCTGTTGAAGAGCTAATGTACAATTCTGTCTCTCATACACTAACATCTTTTGAAGTCACAAACACCAGTGTGGAGTGAGAGTAAAAAGACACACACACACACACACACACACACACACACACACACACACACACACACACACACACACACACACACACACACACACCTGTTTCCGATGGTTTTTATTTGGACAAACATGACATCTTACTCATATGCAGTGAGCTTTTATTGTGAAAAGTACCGTGTTTGATTTAAGTTAAATAGCCAATTTTGATAATGATCTGAGACTGAAACTGGACTGTTTATGTTGCTGTTTTTTTCATTTTTATTTAGGCTTTTAATTCGTCCCAGAGTAGATCAACACTTTTATACAACCTACGTACACTTTACATGGAGGATATTTCCCTGTGGAAGCGGCTGTTGATGCGGGTGTTTGAGGCAACGTTTCTGCAGCAGCAGCGGGCACACACACACACACACACACACACACACACACACACACACACACACACACACACACCAAGATGTGCAGCAGCGTGGAGCAGGGCAGTGCGGATCAGCCGCCACACAGCCGAGGATCTGAGTCAGTCCTTCTCCTTCATGAAGACATAATACGGTTTATGGTTGTAAATATAAACACACACCTGTCGCTGCCTCTCACAGTTCCGTTAGTCACAGCGTGACTTTAGGAATTAAAAATCTTGTCCTTCCTCCTTCCTTCAGCAGCCAGTCCGTCACATCATCACTGTTTATTGATTTATTTTTATTTCCTGTGTGATTAAATCCAAATCCACATTTAAGCCCGATAATTTACTTTAAAAAGTAAATTAATATTTATTGAAATAGTCTTAGTTTAATTATAAAAATGTTTTAAATATTATTTTTGAGAGTTGTTTCAATTATCACACCATAGGCTATATTGTATTATATTGTCCGCCAGATAATATAACTCATTTGAATTTCTGACGTTTTAGGTGCACGTATTTTGCCTAAATCCCAATTATTATTATTTATTAATTATGATGAAACTTTACTTTCTATATTCACAGCGCACACAGCTCATTCAGGAAACAGTAAATAGAGCGTGTGCATAAAACAAAACCCGCGACGTTTTATATTTTCAGTATCAAAATAGAGTCAAATTTAATAATAACAATAACAACACTAATAATAATAATAATAATAATAATAATAATAATAATAATAATAATAATAATAAAAAAAATAATAATAATAATGTCGTTTTTTCACGTGGCCGTGCGGGTGACTGTAGAAATAATTTATTTTACGTTTTCCCCATCACATGGCCTAATTCAAGGCCGTGCAGGATCGGAAGCCCCGGCTCTGGAGGCTCCTCCAGCACGTCCAGGAGTCACTGCGGGGTCATTGCGGGGTCACCCAGAGGGTCGCATTGCTCCCAGACAGAAAGTTAAGCAGGAAGACAGCAGAGACTGACGCATCTACATGGCTTAAACGCAAACTCAAACACAATCTGTCACAGTGGAAATGAGCAACAGAGAAAAGTCTTCATTCTCACAGACATGTTTGATGTCACCACACATTATTACTCCTCATCAAAACCTACAAAAATTAAAACTCTGTTCATATC